TTTGGGACCCTTGAATTTAGTTATAATGTGGTAGACCTTTTTTCTGGGAGAAAAGTACAAGAACCTGTCTGAAGAAACCTAAATTACCTTCGCTTTCCCTTAGATGAGATGTCTGTTTCATATAGCAGTCCACCTGGGTAGCTGCACGTTCACCTGCCCTGCTTTTATCAGGAGTCATGTTTTCCCTGTCACCATGGTCCCCAGTGTTTCAGCTCTCTGAGAACATACAGTGGTTTTCTATCTGCATTTAATTCTCCTAGCAGAGGCGCATAGAGTAAGAGCCATTTATTTCAGTTCTCTGTCCTTACAGATCCAATTTAGTAAACATCTAATAAGAGCTGACTGATGTAAAGGACTCCAGTGGAAGCTGGAGAGCATGGAGAAAAAGAGTAACATCACCTTTCCCTACTGGATCCATAGTTCAGTGGAGAAGACAGAAATATGGAAGTATTTATTTATTAATATTTTGAGACTAGGGCTCACTCTGTTGCCAGGCTGGAGTGCAGTGGCGCAATCTTGGCTCACCACAACCACCATCTCCTGGGTTCAAGTGATTCTCCTGCCTCAGCCTCACCGATAGCTGAGACTACAGGCACGCACCACCATACCCAGCTAATTTTTGTATTTTTAGTAGAGATGGGGTTTCACCATGTTGGCCAGGATGGTCTTGATCTCTTGACCTCCTGATCCGCCCACCTCAGCCTCCCAAAGTGCTGGGATTACAGGCGTGAGCCACCGCGCCCGGCCGGATGGAAGTATTTCTAAAGCAGAGATTATTCATCTTGACTACACATCAGGATCACCTGGGGAACTTTGAAACATGTGATACCCCGGCTGCACTCCAGAGCAATTAAATTAAAATCCCTGAAACTAGAACCCAGGCATCAATAATTTTTAAAGCTCCCTGGGAGATTCGAATGTATTGTATTGCTAACCTAGAGCAAAACGAACTTGGAAAATGCCGTATGAACAAGGGTACTGCAGCCATTCTGGATATGCTAATGTTCTTATCCACTGTCTGACCGCATTTCTGCCCATGAATGCAGAAAATATAACCTCTCATTGTAACCATGGGAAACATTGAGGTCAGTTTGATTGTAGGGCATTTAGAAACTATGTACTCTGGGAAGTATGGTCTGAAGGAAACTATGTTTCTGAGGGGAAAAGGGCCCCAAAAAAGATCAACCGGGAAAATGACTCCAAAATTCAATCTACGTGCTGTCTCCCCTGGAATGTTTTATTCACTTGTCTTCCTGAAGAAGTCCTACTCATCCTCTAGGCTCCCGGCTCAAACTTGACCTCTTTTGTGAAACCCTTCCTTTTCTTCCCCTTACCCAGGCCAAACTGGGTCCCTATTTTTCTCTTACTTAGCTCCTGGTTTCTCGATTTATAGAATGAATAAACAGAACTGCAGCAGTGTTAGGTGGAGTGAGAAGTGGAAACCTAGACTCAGGAACGCCTCGGGCTCCCTCGTCCTGTTTCGGAGCATTGGGATCCTCTGCTGCCAAGTGGTCGGGCTGGGGAGATGGGCAGACAGACTCATGGGTGTAAAGCACATGGAGGAAATGATGGAAGGGGCTTCCCCGGGCTTTAGTTAAAGCAGTGAGCTTGAGCTTCATCTGCAGAGTTTTGTCATTAGAGGAAGAAAGAAACGGAAGTTCACAGGTTTTCAAGTATGTCCATTAACTAAGGGAAAGCGCCTGTGTGACCCCTGTTTTATTCAGGCCACAGGCGTCCCAGCAAAGGCACAACAGTTTACTGTCTGGGGAAATTGTCTGTTTTAGTTTATTTTTTTTTTAACTTTAAGTCTTAAAAACAAAAGGTTTTTTCATTTTTTCATAGCTTTTACACATATGAAGGTGAAAAGATGACTTCGGTCTTGTATGTATGAGGGACGTGCAGTCCAGGTTGTTTAGAACGGTGCGCCCTTTAGGTCTTCTGTCCTGATTTCTTATACAGAAACGATGGTTGCTGTTCTTACCATTGGCTCTCATTCCTCCAGCATGCTTAAAGATATTTTAGTAGTCAAAAAGTGTAATTATTTCAGGTTTCTGTGTGGTAGCAAAAAAAAAAAATTTTTAATTTTAATTATCTTACTTAAGCTCCCTTAAGTAAGGTTGTCTCATGGACAAAAAAGCCTAAAGATAATACAGAGCAGGCATTGAGTATATTGCCTTGAGCACCAGACTTGTATTGAATGTAGCTTTTTGGTGAAGATGATATATATTAACATTTCTTTCTCTACCACAAATTAGTACAAAAATCCTTCAAAGAAGAAATGAGGGCCCAGCGCGGTTGCTCACGCCTGTAATCCCAGCACTTTGGGAGGCCAAGGTGGGCAAATCACTTGAGGTCAGGAGTTTGAGACCAGCCTGGGCAAACCTCTACCTCTACTAAAAATACAAAAATTAACCAGGCATGGCGGTGCACACTTATAATCCTAGCTACTCAGGAGGCTGAGACACAAGAATCTCTTGGACCTGGGAGGTGGAAGTTGCACTGAGCCGAGATCATGCCACTGCGCTGTAGCCTGGGCGACAGAGCGAGATTGTGACTCAAAAAAAAAAAGAAAGAAAAAGAAAAAATTAGTCATTAAGAACTGTTCTTTCATTATGAACTATTCTTTTTTTTTTGAAATGGAGTCTGGCTCTGTAGCCCAGGCTGGAGTGCAGTGGCACAATCTCAGCTCACTGCATCCTCCACCCCCCAGGTTCAAGCGATTCTCCTGCCTCAGCCTCCTGAGTAGCTGAAATTACAGGTGCCCACCACCATGCCCAGCTAATTTTTAGTAGAGATAGGCTTTCACTGTGTTGGCCAGGCTGGTCTCAAATTCCTGACCTTGTGATCCGCCCGCCTCAGCCTCCCAAAGTGCTGGGATTACAAGCGTTAACCACTGTGCCCGGCCATGAACTGTTCTTTAATCCTGTCACTTGAGAAATGTTCCACTGTCAGGTGCAAACACAGGAGCCCACCAAGAAAGAAATAGTAACGACCAGAAAAGCCTGTTGCTGGAGCCAGATCCCCTTGAGGCTAGATGGAATCTTAGCAAAATGGCAGCTGTAACCCCACATGGGCTCTTACTTTTAGTGGGCAAATTTTTATAAGCATTAAGGTTTATCCTTATCTCTTACATGAATAACCAAAATTGTTATGGTTATTATGGATTAAATTACTACTGTTTCTCTTTTTGTTTCCTCGATTCCAACCAAATTAAACCCTCATAATCTGTGAGCAAAATCACCTCAGTTTTCATTGAATGACCCACAACTATTTCATCTTTTTGCCTGTTTAAAAAGTGTAACATTTTTTCCTCACTGAATAATACAAAAAGTATAAAATAAAGGCTAAACTTTAAAACATTCTTTAAATCTAACAATGATAAGCTTTTTTAAAAGTGCTGGGCCGGGCGCGGTGGCTCACGCCTGTAATCCCAGCACTTTGCGAGGCCGAGGCGGGCGGATCACGAGGTCAAGAGATTGAGACCATCCTCACCATGGTGAAACCCTGTCTCTACTAAAAATACAAAAATTAGCCGGGTGTGGTGGCAAGTGCCTGTAATCCCAGCTACTCTGGAGGCTGAGGCGGAAGAATCACTCAAACCCAGGAGGCGGAGGTTGCGGTGAGCCGAGATTGTGCCATTGCACTCTAGCCTGGCAACAGAGCAAGACTCCGTCTCAAAAAAAAAAAAAAGTGCTTAGTGATTTTAACATTTACTTTTTTTTTTTTTTTTTTTGAGACGGAGTTTTGCTCTTGTTACCCAGGCTGGAGTGCAAGGGCGCGATCTCGGCTCACTGCAACCTCCGCCTCCTGGGTTCAGGCAATTCTCCTGCCTCAGCCTCCTGAGTAGCTGGGATTACAGGCACGTGCCACCATGCCCAGCTAATTTTTGTATTTTTAGTAGAGATGGGGTTTCACCATGTTGACCAGGATGGTCTCGATCTGTTGACCTTGTGATCCACCCGCCTTGGCCTCCCAAAGTGCTGGGATTACAGGCTTGAGCCACCGCACCTGGCCTACTTTTTTTTTCTTTTTTTTTTTTAAGAGATAGGGTCTTGCTATGTTGCCCAGGCTGGATTCAAACATCTCAAACCAAGTGACCCTCCTGCCTCAGCCGTCTGAGTAGCTGGGACTCCAGGTGTGTGCCACTGTGCTTACCTAACGGTTACAGTTTCTGTGTGTTTGTTTTTAATCACTTCACTGCTATAGGGTCTCTTGTAACCTAGTTAGATTTCTCAGAGGACATCCTGTATGTTCTTCAGTCGGTATATTATTTTATGAAACAATAACACAATAGCATTGAACTATATGTCACTGGTAGGTGGCAAGCTATTAGTGATGAACTGTATCATCTTGTGGAAAAAGCAAGCTATTTTCAGAGTCATTAAATTAGGAGCTCTTTCTGGCTCGTGTTTCAGTGCTGATGGCTCCATGTGTCCCCATATCCTTCTGTAATGGAAAATCTGCACTAAGTAAGGACAGCACCCTTCCCAATAGCTAGCCGGTCGACAGTCACAGACTGCTGTTGGCTACATCCTTAGTCAAAATCTGTGTGTTTCCATCTGCCCACGCGTTCCTCTCTTGCAGCCTCATGACATTCAGGAACTTCTCACATACTTGCCCAGAATTGCAGCAGATCGTCCGTTGGTGGTAACACCCTTACCATGAGCCAGATTTGAGCTCCCTAGCCCTCTGTGGTCCCTGATGAGTGAAGGGAACAAGGGTCTGTGTAGGAATGGGGCTTGGTATGGCTAAGGGTCAAGAGAAGGTGAGACCAGAGGGAGCCTAGGCTGGGATCTACTGAAACAGCCCCGAAAATGTAAACAAGATGGGGCCGGAACTTTTTCTGGACAGTACTTATGTTTTCCCGCCAAGGCACAAGTCCTCCTCATAGGCAAATGACAACCAGTGTACGTGTCAAATAAGATCGTTAGCCTTAGTAAACAACCAGCCTGTATGACACCATTTTAACAGGAGGCCTCATTCTTCTTTTCCCCATCCAGAATTAAGAGAAAAAAAGTGAATATGGTTTTTGCTCACAGAATGGATAACAGCAAGCCACCTCTGGTTATTTCCACACTTCTGGTGCCCCTCCAAAACCGCAGCTGCTCTGCAACAGCCACACCTCTGCCCAGCCAGTACCTGATGGGATTAAGTGAGGAGCACAGCCGGATGAGCAACCGGACAGACCTTCACTATGGCCTGAAACCCGGAGAAGTGGCCACAGCCAGCATCTTCTTTGGGACTCTGTGGTTGTTTTCTGTCTTCGGTAATTCCCTGGTTTGTTTGGTCATCCACAGGAGTAGGAGGACTCAGTCTACCACCAACTACTTTGTGGTCTCCATGGCCTGTGCTGACCTTCTCATCAGCGTGGCCAGCATGCCTTTCGTCCTGCTCCAGTTCACCACTGGAAGGTGGACGCTTGGTAGTGCCATGTGCAAGGTTGTGCGATATTTTCAGTATCTCACTCCAGGTGTCCAGATCTATGTTCTCCTCTCCATCTGCATAGACCGCTTCTACACCATCGTCTATCCTCTGAGCTTCAAGGTGTCCAGAGAAAAAGCCAAGAAAATGATCGCAGCATCGTGGATCTTTGACGCGGCCTTTGTGACCCCCGTGCTCTTTTTCTATGGCTCCAGCTGGGACAGCCATTGTAACTACTTCCTCCCTTCCTCTTGGGAAGGCACTGCCTATACCGTCATCCACTTCTTGGTGGCCTTTGTGATTCCGTCTGCCCTCATAATTTTATTTTATCAAAAGGTCATAAAATATATTTGGAGAATAGGCACAGATGGCCGAACAGTGAGGAGGACAATGAATATTGTCCCACGGACAAAGGTGAAAACCATCAAGATGTTTCTCATTTTAAACCTGTTGTTTTTGCTCTCCTGGCTGCCTTTCCATGTAGCTCAGCTATGGCATCCCCATGAACAAGACTATAAGAAAAGTTCCCTTGTCTTCACGGTGATCACGTGGATATCCTTTAGTTCTTCAGCCTCTAAACCTACTCTGTATTCCATTTATAATGCCAATTTTAGGAGAGGGATGAAAGAGACTTTTTGCATGTCCTCTATGAAATGTTACCGAAGCAATGCCTACACTATCACAACCAGTTCAAGGATGGCCAAAAAAAACTACGTTGGCATTTCAGAAATCCCTTCCATGGCCAAAACTATTACCAAAGACTCCATCTATGATTCATTTGACAGAGAAGCCAAGGAAAAAAAGCTTGCTTGGCCCATTAACTCAAATCCACCAAATACTTTTGTCTAATTTCTCAGAATTCTTTCAGTTGTTATGCACCAGAGATTAAAAAGCTTTAACTATAAAAACAGAAGCTATTTACATATTTGTTTTCCTCAACTTTCCAAGGGAAATGTTTTATTTTGCAAAATGCATTCATTTGTTTATTATAGTTTTTGTGAGTTTTATTTTACTTGTTTCATGTTTTAGGAAAAGCGTTCACTTTGAACTAGAGCCAACAGTTGCTTTACTATTAATGTATTAGTTACACACATGAAAAAGAAAATGCTTTATTACCACTTACTTACTGTTAGGTTCAAAAACATAAACTTAAGCACAGTCTTTGGTTAATGATTCAATCTAGTTTTTTGGTTTTGCTTTTTGTTCTTTTTGAGACAGAGTCTCACTTTGTCACTCAGGCTAGAGTATAGTGGCATGTTCTCGGCTCACTGCAACCTCCACCTCCTGGGTTCAAGCGTTTCTCCTGCCTCAGCCTCCTGAGTAGCTGGGATTATAGGCACGTGCCACCACATGGCTAATTTTTGTATTTTTAGTAGAGACGGGGTTTCACCATGTTGTTTGTTCAGGCTGGTCTCGAACTCCTGACCTCATGATCTGCCCGCCTCGGCCTCTCGAAGTACTGGGATTACAGGTGTGAGCCACCACGCCCAGCCTATTTTGTTTTCTTTTTCTCCTTATTGGATTTTGGTAGCTAGGGCTTCAGTTCCAAATGAAATCCCCATGTCACCTCTCTCAGAGATGTCTATTTCCTTCACTCAGCAACATTTAGTTTGAGTTTAACACGTACGGGTTGTCACGTTACCTTCCTCCAAGTAACCACTGGCCAGATCTGCTATGGAAAGCATGCCATATACTGGAACATGCTGGGAAGTCTTCTGTGGTTGGATTTTAATCAGAATTTTTAGGGGAAAAAAAGCATACAGAGTTGCCTAATTTCTCTTGTTTTTATCCTTCCTTCATCCAAGTGGCTGGTGAATTCTTGAAAAATGCAGTCAATGCAATGTTTTCCTCATTTGTGTCCCATCTAGGCTGTGTCTAGAACATTTACCTCCCATTTTTGAGTTATATACAAGTAAATGAGCAGGTGCTGTGGCTAGCATGTCTAAAATATGCCAAAGACGGAAATGGCAGATGGCATTTTCTATACTCTGCAGTTCAAGCAGAGACTTTCAGCTGCCCAGCCCTACCCCTATACAGCAGGACAGCAAGGGCAGGGACTGCCTTCCTCTTTCTCCTAGAAACTCGTGAGGCCATTTCCCTGACCACAGCCTGTTCCCCCTCATCTCTCCTCTCCAGGGTGCATACCCTGGCCAAGCTGAAACTCTTCTGTGCCTGTGATAACGAGGGAATTTTTTTTCCCTCTGGTTCCCAGATCTCCATTATTTCAAATCGATGACCAGCCAGCACATTTAAAAAATGTTTTTATTTAAACAATAAAGGATTTACAGACGAGACTGGTATGCATTTTCATGCCCTAGTTAACAAGAGCTACCAATAATAACTCCAGTTGTTCAGCAATTTTACATTCATTATCTCCTTTATCCTCGCAGCAATCCTGTGATGTATTTATTATCATCCCTTTTCTAGATGAGCAAACTGGAACTCAAAAGTTCTGTGACCTGCCCAAGTTGGAATGTGACAGAGCTGGTGTTCAAACTCAGGGCCTCCAACCACATGTCTGTCCGTTGCTCTTTCCTTGACATTTCAATGTCTCCCTGGAGAACACGAGGGGCCAAACCCATCCAGGCCTTGAAGGGCCTCCAGACCATGGCCTTGGTGGAAGTCAAAGTTCTAAGAGAATTTGGCCATTCTTTTTTCTTTTTTCTTTTTTGAGATGGAGTCTCACTCTGTTTCCCAGGCTAGAGTGCAACGGCGTGATCTTGGCTCACTGCAAACTCTGCCTCCTGAGTTCAAGTGCTTCTCCTGCCTCAGCCTCCTAAGTAGCTGAAATTATAGGCACCTGCCACCATGCCAAGCTAATACAAAGTACTGGGATTACAGGGGTGAGACATTTTTATTTTCAATTTTAAAAAATCAGCTGAATTTAAGATTCACTGGTGATTCTTAAAAAGAGTCTATGTGATTCCTGCTGACAAGTGGTGATTAAAAAAAAAAAAGAAAGAGTCTAGGTGAAATGTAATGAGCTGGCCCTCACCTGTTCCTTGGCTACAGATCGGTTCTCGGGCTAGTGCTACAGAATGTTTGAGATCAGGAGGGAAACCTGTACCTTCCCACGTCTCAGACACCGGGGAATGAAACAAAATTACATTTGAGATTTGGGGCAAAGAATAACAAAACATTTAATCTACAAAACATTTACAGAGCTGATGTTTTTAAATTGAGATGCTTTCTTCAATCACAGATTCCAAAGACAGAAATAATCTATTTTTCTTTTTCCCTTTCCCCTCCTCCTCACATTCTCATCTCATCAGCAAATGGCTCTAAAACAATAAAGTGTGCCAGGTATTGACCTCACTTAGCCCTTGAATTTTATGGTTCAGACTTGAAGAGACCCTGCTGTGGTTTTATTGTCTTTTTAAATGAAATATGACTTTTTGGAATTAGAGTGTGAAAAGTTTAATTTGTTTCCAATTTGCTTTTTATATATTGATAGATCTCACTAGGTGATTTCTAAGTTCCATTCTGTCTTTGATGTTCTGGGAGTTTACTATATTAGGTGGATATTCGGTGAGACAACCTCATACAAGCTCTTGTGTAGAGAGTTTGTTTTTGTTTTTGTTTTTTTTCTTTTTGAGACAGTTTCTCTCCTTCACCCAAGCTGGGGTGCAGTGGCTCAATCTCAGCTCAGTGCAACCTTCATCTCCCAGGTTCAAGTGATTCTCGTGCCGTAGCCTCCCAAGTAGCTGGGACTACAGGTCTACACCTGGCTAATTTTTGTATTTTTAGTAGAGACAGGGTTTGGCCATGTTGGCCAAGCTGGTCTTGAACTCCTGGCCTCAAGTGATCCATCCATCTTGGCCTCCCAAAGTGCTGGGATTACAAGTGTGAGCCACCGTGCAGGCCAGAAAGTATTTTTAATCCCCCAAATAATGACAAATTAAGAGTATTAAGTCACAATTAAGAGCGCTCCAAAGTCACATGACCTGTCTTCAGCTATGTTCTCTCAGCGAGCTGGTAATTCACTGCTTTTTTGTTCAGTGTAATATTCAGCCTTCCTGGCGTCTCTCTCGGTCCTGAATTTGCAGGAGGCTTCACGTAATGCACAGATTGGTGAAAATTTGCTTAAGTCCCGCGACATAAGAACAGCATTCAGCACGCCTCACGTTTACTCCACTAGAACCAGAATTAAGCCACAGAGAGACAGGCTATTGGAGAGAATAAGCAAATGACTCTATCAGGTGCACAATGAGATGCACCACAAATCCAGATTCATGTGGCCTCCAAACAGGAATCCAAGAAAGGCAACAGGGGGAAGCGGCCTCCACAGTGGAGGCAGTTCTCCTACCTGGTGCCAGGTTCTCATAAACCGTCGGTGGGGAGGGAAGGGACAGGGACGCATCCTTTGAGTGGAATTTGAATTCTCCCTTCTCAGCTTCATTGAATGCATTAATGCCCAGGCTGCTGCTGAGTCAAAAAGTACATCCTGCTCAGATGCGTTTGCCTGTGAACCTTTCATCACAATGCCCATGGCCAGAGCTGATACCCTGGGCCAGACTTCTCCCTCAGGAAGGACAATTTTATCCTTGTGGAGGCTCATCTCCACCAAGCATGTGGCGAGTAGAGTCGTTTGTGAGAGACTGCTGGCAGTTTCACCTCTCCCTAAGGGCACAGCCCTCTTCCACTCTTCCGTTCTTGCTGCCATTTGCAGAAGCTCACTCTGAAACCACATAACCAAGCTCAGCTGGGGAGACCTGACCAGGATCCGCCTCCAGGTTATGCTCCTCTAAAAACCATATGTAAAAGAAGCAAGGAATTAGACACTTTTAGAGCAGAAGGGATGTTAGGAGACCTAGCCCAACCCCTTCATTGGTTAGAAGTGGAAGTTAAGACCAAGAGACATGAAGTTAGGGCTAAACCGACAATGTCGCCTACCCACCGGTTCAACTTTATTTCAGCTTTGCCATTTGGCTTGCTGTGGCATGATTCACTTATTTTTTTAATACATTAATTTTATTTATTACTCAGCAATTTGGGAGGCCAGGCAGGCAGATCACTTGAGCCCAGGAGTTTGAGACCAGCCTGGGCAACATAGTGAGACCCTTCATCTCTACAATTAGTCAGGTGTGGTACGTGTGCCTGTAGTCCCAGCTACCTGGGAGACTGAGGTTGCAGCTCAGATCCACTCCCGCGCTCATCTTGGCTCACTGCAACCTCTGCCTCCCAGATTCAAGTGATTCTTCTGCCTCAGCCTCCGGAGTAGCTGGGATTACAGGCCCGGTGCCACCACGCCCTGCTAATTTTTTTTGTATTTTTAGTAGAGACAGGGATTCACCATGTTGGCCAGGCTGGACGTATTATTAGATTTTTTTAAATCCAAACTGTGTGCAGGAGAATATGAAAAGAATACATAAGTCTTTACTGTTCATTTAACCTGCTAATTCATGTGTGAAAATGATGGATGACCTTGGAGTGTCGTAATTAGGGAACAACGGAAACAAACCGACTTCCCCTAGCAGTTTTCCAGAATGACCGCTTGATGGCACTGTGACTTGTGGGCAAAGCCCACCACCTCTTCACGATGCCTGTCACACTGGTGAATTCAGGGAAGTCCTCGTCTCATAGCAACAAGACAGGGAAAATTGCTGAGCACCCAGAAGCAGCTGTAGATTAAGTAATCAATCAGTGTGTTCAAAACACAAAGCATCTAAACATTGGAGGAAATTCCAAAATAATACCCTTTTCAGACATGAAATCACTAGTCAAAATATTGTTTTAAACCCATTTTACGAATGTGATCATTTTCCAAAAACTCCATCAGACCACCAAGCTGGCATTAGTGCCACCCACACTTGCCAGGGCCTGTCTTTTCCTGTTCCGCTCTTTTCATCATTGACTCAGAGAATTCATGGACTTTTTCATAGCAGTGTATCCAGAGTTTCTCTACAAGTGAATGCTCATATGCTGCTCATAGCAAGCAGTTCAACTTATTTTAAAGTGAGCCTCGGCCGGGCGCGGTGGCTCACGCCTGTAATCCCAGCACTTTGGGAGGCCGAGGAGGGTGGATCACGAGGTCAAGAGATCGAGACCATCCTGGTCAACATGGTGAAACCCCGTCTCTATTAAAAATACATAAAATTAGCTGGGCACGGTGGCGCATGCCTGTAATCCCAGCTACTCGGGAGGCTGAGGCAGGAGAATTGCCTGAACCCAGGAGGCGGAGGTTGCGGTGAGCCGAGATTGCGCCATTGCACTCCAGCCTCGGTAACAAGAGCGAAACTCCGTCTCAAAAAAAAAAAGTGAGCCTCTACAATCTGGGCCATTCTGAAGTTTTGGCACAGTTGAACACTTCCAGAACTCTCAATAACTCTATATTTTCTTTCTCAGAAGAAGCCTCTTTTATATATGTATTTTTTTATTTTTCAGTAGAGACGGGATCTCGCTTTGCCACCCAGGGTAGTCTTGAACTCCTGGCCTCAAGGATCCTCCTGCCTTGGCCTCTCAAAGTGCTAGGATTACAGGTGTGAGCCACTGGCCTGGCCGGAAGAAGCCCCTTTAAAACTATTGCTTTACAAACTCTCTGTGAACCCTAATTAAGTTATATGTGTGGGGTTATGCGATTTAGATTCACCAGTAATTTGAAGAATGTGTGATTTTAGTTCACAGAAGAAAGACCACCAGCAAATGCCGGACTCTGCAGTGAGGAGTTTACATGTATCTGGTTTGAGGCTCATGATGCAGGCCTGCGGTTTGGGCACATAGGCTGGTTCCCAGCAGGCAGGAAGGCAGTTCCAGTTGCTTACCCACAAGCCCTAGATATAGGAGATTCAAACTCATGGAGGGAAAAATTCTGAATGAATCCTTTCTATTCTGCTTCCCTGCTGTATCTTCCAAAGAACAATCTCCTTTAAGCCAAGCTCAGGTGGCGGGTATCAGAATTCAGTGCATCCACAGCCTCAGTTCTTGCTGGTTGTTGGCCCTCAGCTCTGTGCACGTGGGCCCCTCCCGCATGGCAGCTTGCTCCGTAAAGCATCAGAGGAGAGGGGCTGCTAACAAGACAGAAGTTGCTATCTTGTGCAACCTGAGCATGGAAGTGACGTTCCATCACCTTTCCTGTGTTCTGTTGGTCAGAAGCCAGTTATATCTCCTGCCCACACTTAATGGGAGGGGACCAAACAAGGCTGTGAATATCAGAGGCAAGGACATGGGGGCATTTAGAAGCTGTGTGTCACAACCAAATGGCACATGGTGAAAAGTAAATCTGTCTCTTACCCTAGACTTGTCTCCCAGTCCCTCTCTCTAGAGGTAAAGGTTATTGAGTTTTTAAAAAACAT